GGCCCCAGTGGCTGCGTTCGCATGCCGCCCCCACACCAACTTCGGTGCACCCCTCACACATTTCGTGAAGGCCCCAGTGGCAGGGTTCGCATGCCTCCCCACCACCCATTTCGGCACACCCCTCACACGGTTCGTGGCCCCATAGGGAGATCCACCGAAGACGGTACTCACACCAGCATTATTCACAACTGCATATGGTTGGGTCCTTCGCCAGGCTAATTTTCAAAATGGGGCTCTCGCTTGAGGCGTCGTCGAATCCCACCCGTCCAGTGGGCGTAGGCTTTTAAGGGCGATCTCTCGTCTAACCTCCTTCCCAGTTGGGGATGGGCTGTCCCTTATTAGTATTCCCCCCCTCCCCGTCTCGTTCGCCCACACACCCGAGACCCCTGTCAAAAAGTAGTACAAAGTGTGTGCGGCGGTAAAATCGTGATCATGGGCGGGCCCCAAGAGAACGTGGCAGGGGCGTTTGACAGGGACGGGGGGGAGGCAGATTTGTCCGCCGAGCGCTGGTCGACGACCCCGATCAAAAACAAGTGCAAGACGATCATGGGCGAGCACACCATACAATGTCGCCGACCACCCCGCCGCCACTGTGCAGCAGTTCGTGTCAGGGATGGCGTGGGGTCGACCCACATGCCCCCAAGCGTGCCCCTGGAGGGTCCCAGCAAGATCCCAACATGCTGCTGTTCGCCGTGATTGTTGCTCGATGGCTCCAACCATGGACCCAAGAGCGCCCCAGGAGCGCCCCCAAAGGGGCTCCAAGAGACGATGCTTCTGGCTCCGACGTGGGGACCCTGACTTGCACCGCCTTCCTATTGGCTTGATGGCCTCCAGGTTGGAGGCAAAAAGGCCCCCACAAGAGGGCCCAAAGAGGGCCCCAGGAGCGTTTGCAACGCCCCCACAAGGGGCTCAAGTGATCTACGCTTTTGCTCCAAGAGATCTACAAGAGGCTCCCAGGGGTCTGTTTACCCTTGTTGGTCTAGCTGCATCACAGTAAGCTGATACACGTTTCTGGATGAGCTTCTGGGGATATGCTGAGCGTCAACCAACAATGCAATCACGACTGTTAAAGTACAGCGATGGAGTGCGGTTCCTTTTCAAACCAGGGCTAGTGCTGGATTATTCCCTGAACTTTACGATCATACCGACTCGCATTCCGATAGCTCGAAGAATGCGAGGGGGTACATGTTGGTTTCAAAAACAGGGGACGCTTCGCGTAGTGAGAAGGAATGCTAGTCGGGAATATGGAAAAGGGAACTTAAGACGGAAGGGCGTAATGCAGCATCGCTGATGCATCCTGGCCTTCCTCCAGTACTCCTCCTCCTCATCATCCTCCTCCTCGTCCTCGTCCTCCTCCTCCTCATCATCCTCCTCCTCGTCCTCCTCCTCGTCCTCCTCCTCCTCCTCCTCCTCCTCCTCCTCCTCCTCCTCCTCCTCCTCCTCCTCCTCCTCCTCCTGTCGACAACGACGACCACCGCCGCCACGACCACGACCGAAGTCGACGACGACGACGACGACGACGACGACGACCACCACCGCCGCGACGGCGACGACGACCACGGCGCGCCACGGCGACGGCGGCCCCCGACGGCGGACGGCGAGGACGCGAAGGCGCAGGCCCGGAGAGGCGCGCGGCGCCTGCCACAGGGCCTCCACCTTCAGGTCGGCCATGCCGTGCTCGCGGAGCTGAGGAGGCGCACGGGCACCATCGGGAGCAGACAAGCACGCTCCACGACCCGCAAGGCAGAACTACTCGCAAGTGGCCTGGATGCGCCGCTGGGGATCTACGACCCATGACAGAGAGGAAGGCACGTGCTTCTCGCACGTTTGCGAGCAGGCACTCTGCGAGCGGTGGAACGCGCTCGGCGGTGGAGGGAGAAGGGCAGAGGGGGCAGGAGGCTGGCCCGAGGGGGCAGCTGGCGGGATCTCACGGTCTCGCGGCCGCCGCGCAAGTCACGAGACGAGGCGCGAAGACGATCCCGGGACCGGGGCGAAAGCGAACCGATATGAATCTGGGATCTCTGAGATCTGGCGGTGCCAGCAGATGTATCGGGCGTGGCGGCCGATCCAGAGTCCAGAGCGCTCCAGAGCGCTCTGAGAGCGCTCGAGAGCGCGCGCGCGGCAAGAGGCGACGGATCTCGCCGCCCAGCAAGCGCGGCCCACGGCCGCGCGACCGCGGGGACCTGGCCACCAAGTGAGGTGTCGGGTCCCCGACCGTGACGCCCGCCTTCAACATGCCGACGAGCACCACCACCAGGGACGGCGGGCCCGCACGAAAACCAGCGGGCCCCCACCGTCTCATACGCAACCGTGACCCCCCCCCGCCTGCGGCCGCCGAGCCGCAGCGGCCGCCGCAGCAGCGCCGAAGACGCAGAAGGTGAACGCCTCCACACGGCACAGCTCGTCGTCGGGCATGGCCACGGCGACGCTCCGCAAAGCCCCGGCGCACTCCACGAGCATGCCGACGCGGCGCCCCCGCGGGGGCTCGCGCGGGGCCGCATCCGCAGCGGGCTGGTGCCCCCGCGGGCGCCGTAAGCGCGGCGCCACCATCGCCTCGTCAGCCCACTCGACGTCGGTGTCCGAGGCGGCCGTGGCGTCGACCGCGAGCAACGCGAGGCCAGGCCAGGCACCAGCAGAAGCCCAGGAGAGCTCAGAATCGAATCGACAAGTCGGCCTGGCGATCGACACGAATCGGATCGGCGGTGATCGGCAGCCAAGTCGGAAAACGAAATCGAATCGAATCGGAATCGGGCCATGCAGCCGCATCCCGCCACCTCAGGGCGTCCTCGACGGCGGGCACTGCCACCTCGAGCAGCCGCAGGCGCCACAGGCGCCGCGCCGCGAGGCGCTGGCGGCGAAGGCGGTGGCGCGCCGC